CCACGTAACTCAGACGTAGCATTTGTCAGTGTGAGTGCGTGTGCGCACGCACGTGTGTGTGTGTGTGTTTGAGTGTGGATCAGGTTCAAGGAGAAATGTCTAAGACGAATACAAATTCCTTGAGTCGTCTGTTTTCTTATGCTGTGCTGTGCAATGCACCATATAAAGAGAGGCTGTTTTACACACAGGGAGTTCCTATTGGTGGTTGTCCTTTTCTTTTCTTTTTTTTTGTACATACTTCACCAGCCTCATTCCTAGTAGCAGCAGCTTTGGTCATTTGAAATATACAAGTGAAACTAGAGTAATGTTTTTTTTGTTTTGTTTTTTCTACTATTTCCTTATTTCTGCTTCCTCAGAAACGTTCAGCTATTTTTTGACTGCCACACTCTTATAAATATATCAAACAAAAATATACAAGACAATTGGATTTGGGCCAGAAATAAATAATGAAATGTATCCATAAAAATTCCAGTCAGACAAAGAAAAGGAACATTAGTTTTCATTAGAGGGGAAAAGGGGCCTTTAGCTATGTTAAAATTGCATATTGACTTGATTTCTTTTTTTTTTTTTTTTTTTTTCCAGAAAAATCAGCTGCATAGCATTCTGTCAGGAAGTCTAATTACTGGGTTGGGAAGGTTTAAATTCATACCAGGAATGATATGACATGCATGGGCATGCTTTGGATCATGGACCCTTATGTATGGGTTCACGGGAAAACCTCACCTGCCTCTGGGCCAAACGGGCTTTCCTAAATGTGGTTTATGGGTGGTGTCTGCTGTAAAGTTCTTCGCTACAGTCTGAGAATAATCAGTTACTGTTTGTTTGCGTTTCTGTAGCCAGAGAGTAAATGCAAAACCTCAACCCCTGTCAAATCAAGTTTAAGAATTCACATGCTCTCACGCGTGGTTTTCGTGTTGTGAGAGCTTTTAAACTAAAGATGTCTGCTGCTGTCTGGTGTCCATATGTCCTGTCTGGAGGGGACAGTTGTGCCAGCTGAACCAAAACCTAAACAGGAAGGCGACACCATCAGTTGGTCACCCTGTTTGTGCCCTTAGGGTTTGTCTCAAAGTGGACTCTCAACCAGGGAAATTCCAAAGGATTCTGCAATTGCTCATTCTGTGACCACTTTTGTAATATCTTGTTTAGAGGATCTCTATGATGTTTTTTTTTTTAATCTCAAACTGGTATTATAATAAAGTAATAAAGTTACTGTATTTGAGGAGTGGAAAAAAAAAAACTAACTCAGGAAACCGGTTGTCGTCATTAACATTATTAAGCAGCCACATGGTTACCACATCCGTGACAGCAAAATCCGCAGTTCCCGGCCGCAGTAGGGGTCATGGACTGGTTAAGGATGGAGGCAGTCGCTGAAAAGTTACCAGCCCCATTGATTTATAGCACCAGAAAGCAACGTAACCTGAATGTAAATGACCCACAGGATTTTTGCCTTGTCTCGCCAGGTGCCGGCAATCCCCAGTGCAAAGTGGCCATTGTCATGTGCAGGAGCGGCATTCGGGATGAAAACATCAGGTCAGCAGAACAGTTATGTGAAATATACGTCCACGTTTCTTTGTGGGAACAAACACGCAAAGATTTGTTTCTGCCTTTTTCCAGAGTTTTCTGATGTCATGTTTTTCACCACAACAACAGGATTTTTATTAGTATTGTTCATTTCTAGTTTTGGTTTTATGTGAGATTGTTTTGTGTGTTCCTTTGAACCTTTTTTTAAGAAGCCATTTGTCCCACTAGACTTCTTCTGTTTCTGCTGCCAATATAACTGAAATGGACTTTGCTTAGAGACACAGCCTACTTCCCAGCATGCCCCTTAGCACCGGTCTAGCTTTCTGCCCTGATGTTTGTATAACACATAGGGGGAAAAAAAGTCAGTCTAATGTTGATGCTTGTGTGTGTTAAATTTTGCTTGAAGTTTAATTGGCATAATTTAGGATATTAATTAAAAGAAATTCCTAACAACCACACCCAGAATATAATAACTCTTCTCCTTGGTTTGTCAGCAGTAAAAGGCACACACCCTTGCTTGCAATGAATGGAGATTCCCATCAGTATCATATTTATAGCTGCGTGAAAAACCTGTGAAAATGGCAACTGTGCTCAAAGTATAATTCCATCACATGCTTCGGCTGTAAACCTGTCTCTTAGGCACAGCCAGCACAGTATGATCCTCGTACCTATGGACACAGCAGGTGTAAAGCTCATCAGACCACTCACTGTGTTCGGTCAGGATGGTAAGTTAATGATATCATCTGTCCTTGTTTATTTTTCCCCACAGTATGGGCGTGCAGAGATGACATCTGAGCTTTCCTGACACGATTTAATCCTTGTATCTGTTCTCAGATGCGATCCATGGTGGCCACTTTGAAGTGCATTTTGAAAATGTGCGCGTACCCGCCTCCAGCATTATTCTAGGTAAAAGCCTTTATTGTTTTGCCTATATTCCCAAGAAACAGAATATGTTTGAACGATAAAGCAGTGTTGACTTGACATTTTGTGAATGAGATAATTACGGCCTCTTCTGTTATCTCTCTTTCTGTGTTACACTGTTGTGGTTTCCAGGGGAGGGCAGGGGATTTGAGATTGCCCAAGGTCGCCTGGGGCGAGGCAGGCTGCACCACTGTATGAGAGCTGTCGGACTAGCGGAGTTGGCATTGGAGCTACTCTGCCAGCGGGCTGCCACCAGACACACCTTTGGAAAACAACTGTACCAGCATGTGAGTGAAGCTGTATCTGAAGGAGAGGTTCTCAGAGCTTTGATGGCTTTCTGCCAGTTTTGGGGTTACAGCATACAGGAGAAGAAAAATATCAGGAAATGGGGTTTATAATCGCAGTTTTTGTGCCATTTATAGCAAGTTAAATTCATTTCTGTATTTGCCAGCATTGGGAATGTTTATTCTGCCTAAATAGAATAACATGTACAGTATTGCAAAGAGAGAACCCAAGAGATATGCCAGATTTAAATCTTGGGGCTGTGGCAGTATGTGCTGAGAGATGTCCTACTGTTGACACCTAGTGGACAGCTTTTTAGATGCAGCTAATGGATCTCTGTGTTATCTATTGTCCAGGAAGTTATTGCTCATTGGATAGCAGAGTGCCGTCTCATGATAGAGCAGACTCGCCTGCTTACTCTCAATGCTGCTCATGCACTGGATACACTAGGCAGTCGGGCAGCTCGTAAGGAGGTAAAACTATTTTTGACCCTCACATTTAAAACGACAAAACAAACACATATAAATGTGCTGATATCTTACTTGGGATGGACAATAACATTGTATTTCTAAAACCAATGGCTTCTCTGTTGCATTTTGGATATTTTTATTTTTTTTGAAAGTCATTTTTATCATGACATACACTATATTGTCAAAAGTATTCAATCACTACCTTTACACATATGAACTTGAGTGACATCCCATAATAGAGGTGTTTATGGGAATTTTTGACCACTCTTCCGGATGTCCATTTGTGAATTCCAGTAAAGTTCTTCTGCACCAAACTCGCTAATCCATGTCTTTATGACCTATCTTTGTGCACTGGTGCGCAATCATGAACAGGAATGGGACATCCCAAAACTCACACAAAGTTGGGAGCTGGAAATTGTCCAAAATGTCTTGGTATGCTAAAGCATTGAGTTCCTTTCATTGGAACTAAGGCACCCTAATCCCCCCTCCTCCAAACTTTACAGTTGTCACAATGCAGTCAGACAAGTACTGTTCTCCTGGCAACCGCCAAATCCGGTCTCATCCATCAGATTCCAGACACTCCAGTCATCACTCAATAACTCCAGAGACCAACCTCGCCACTGCTCTTGCACTGGCAGCGTGTTTTACACCACTGCATTTGATACTTTGCATTGTGCTTGGTGATCCAAGGCCTGAATCCAGCTGGTCTGCCATGGAAACCCATTCAATGAAGCTCTCTAGACACTCTACCTGAGCTAATTTGGAGGCCACATGAAGTTTGGAGGTCTGTAGCGATTAACTTTACAGAAAGTTGGCAACTTCAGCCTCTGCTGACCATGCTGTTTTTTGTTTTTACATGGCCTACCACTTTGTGGCCGAGTGGTCATTTCCACTTCATTATAATACCCCTAACAGTTGACTATGGAATAGTCAATAGCTCAGAATTTCACAAATTGACTTGTTGCACAGCTGGCATCCTATTACAGGACCACACTAGAATTGATTTGAGCTCCTGAGAGCGACCCATTCATTCATAAATGTTTGTAGAAACAGTCTGCACGACTAGGTGCATGATTTTATACACCTATGGCTATGGAAGTGATTCAAACACCTGAATTCAATGATTTCGATAGATCAGTGAATACTTTTGGCAATATAGCATATGCAATCCCAGCTTGAAATCACTGTGGGATGGAATTGGGAAAGGGCTGTGGTCTTTTGAACTCTAACATTTATCTTTATCACTGCCTCCTAGATTGCTATGATTAAGGTTGCAGCAGGAAGAATGGCCTGCAAGGTGGTGGACATAGCCATACAGGTATATGGTGGTGCAGGTGTGTCTGGAGACGTTCCACTAGCACAGATGTAAGTTTGGACCCGTCCCAACACATAAATGGGTATTTGATAAATGCCTTCCATGATGCCAATATTACATTTGTCTTCAGGTACTCATATGTGCGGACTCTGCGCATCGCTGATGGACCAGATGAGGTGCACCTCTCCTCTATAGCCTATTTGGAACTCAGAGATCAACTAAAGAAGGCACAGGCAAAGCTCTAAAAACATGGCCACAGCTTCATTACACTGCAGTAAACTATTACTGCCCCGATAAGCATTTTTGGCCCTAACGTGAGATTGCTTGATTTTTATTCACTAGTTGCAAAAACACTGAACTTTAAAATGAAAAACCTTACTAAACATACTACCTGTAAAGAAGCACCCTTACATATGTGCCAGGTGAAAATCAAATAAAACATGATTAAAGTGTCTGCCTCAGCTATTTGTTTAAAAGAAAAAAAAAAAAAATCACTTTATTAGGAATTATTTTTAATGTGAACTACAAAAACAGAAAATGACAGCATGAATAAGACTATTGTCGTCACACTCTTTACAGGTGTGGTCTACCACATGGATGAATTCCATTTGGAGGTGATGGGGAATCAGGAAACACAAGCACGTTATTTATTTTTTTACAATATAAAACAGCAGTGGCGCCATCTATCTGGTACACCAGATGGAAACCCATGCAAAACCCTCCACACTTCATTGTCCTCACTTTAACATCAGGGCAGAAATCTTCAGCTGCCAAATCAGTCAATTTTTATACACATGGCGCAGAGAATAGGAGGGAGGAGTTGGGGAAGAAAAGAAAAAAAAAGATGTCAGTGTTTACTCTTCTTTGACTTTTTGTGAGATCGATGTGGAGACCTTGATTTGGAGCGGGATTTCTTAGCTGTTTTCTTGGGTGTCCTGGAGCGCGATCTCCTGGATCGTTTGGGTGTGCGAGGTGATGACGGTGATCTAAATAATAAAATGGCAAAAATAAACAAAAAATGGGAATACCCAGAAAAGCAAATATCCAATTTGTTGAATATTCAGGTCCAGGACTACATATGTAGCACTTTACTACTCTTAGTGACCACTTCAAGCACATCGAGTATGTTAAAATGTTAATATTAGTAGCGCTTAACACCATCTTACCTCTTGGATGACTTTCTGTTGCTGGATCGAGGAGAGTCTTTATGAGAAGAACGTGAGGATGTGTCTTTAGAGTATGATCGGTCAGAGCGCTCTGATCTTTCGGAGCGCTCTGAACGAGGTGAGGACGACCGGCCTCGTCTGCTGCTGCTCCGCGTTGGGCTCGGTGATCCACTGTGACGACGCTTCCTATCAACCGGAGGGGACAAATATCTGTCACACAGGAAATTAAATAAATCCAATGTTCCATGAATGAAAGAAAAAAAGAAAAACCCTAGATCCACACTTTGGATCACTGAAAGCACGCAGCAATTAAACAAGTGTCTGACCTCTCCTTTCTGGTTGGTGTGTCCTCCTTCTCTTTTTCCTTCTTTAACTCTTTCAACCGTGCCTCAGCTTTTTCCTTCTCTTTCTTTTCCTTCTCTTTTTCCCGCTCCAGTTTTTCTTTTTCTTTTTCCTAAAGGGATAAAAAAAAAATCTCTTGTTAGGTTTTGATTTTATTTTTCATGGCATGTAACAATTATAAACCAGTAATAAATGATCAAAAGTGTGCATTTTTCTTCCAAACTATAAGCACACCTGATCCAATACACACCTTTTGTAGTAGTTTGTCCCTATAATGTTCCACCTGCTCCTGAATACTTTGACCGGGCTTCTTAGGTCTTTTCCCAGACTCCAGCTCATCCTGGAACTTCATGACTTTAACCTGCATGGAGAAATACAATCAACTATTGTCGTATACTGCCATGTGCAGTCTGAGGTCTGTGGTATCTGTAAAGTACCTCTATCTGGGACTTCCGGTAATGGCGTTTACTGGGTAGACATGTTTTAGGTCCGCTCCGCTACATGGCTCAGCATTTACCTAACGAACCTACTTCTTTGAGATTTTGATTCCCAGTTTTGGATGTCTTTTGCCTTTGTCGACTACCAAAGATCCAAAGAATGTCAAAGTCAAAGGGCAAACAAGACCGAGACCGAGAAACCTCGACACCTGCGGCACCTGTAACTGCAGCCGAGATTAGCTTAATGCTCGAGGAGCATAGAGCTGCATTGCTAGCAGACTTTAAGTTATCCTTTGAGGACTTGTCCTCTAAGTTAGACAATGTGCAGTCTGCAGTGCAGGACCACGGTCAACGCATTAATTCTTTGGAATCGACATACACTGAATTACCCACGCCCGAAAGTTTTCTTTTCTCAGCTCATCGTTGATGTTTTCGGAGCGCAGGTGCTTCCCTCACCGCCCGAGCTGGACAGGGCGCACCGGAGTCCAGTTCCGAAATCGACGAAACCACAGCCGGTTATTATGCGATTTCACCAGTACCAAATAAAAGATCTGGTGAAATCCGTGAAGCTCGTAAGGCGAGCTCAGTTACAACGGCCATAGGATCCGGCTATATGAAGATTACAGCACGGAGGTGGTGAAGAACCGAGCTGAGCTTAAAGATGCAATGTCTGAACTTTATAAGCGGGGATTTAAACCTGCGCTCCTCTTCCCGGCTAAACTGCGCATCGTTCTGCCCACAGAGGAGAAAAAGTGTTTTACGTCTGCTTCAGAAGCCGATAGTTCGTGCAGGGTTTGAGGAACGAAGCTGAAGCTCAAAGGCCACAGTGACTTGAATCCTTGTTGACTTACAGGCACTCGGACAATTACAGAGAAGGCAGGCAAGCACTGTATATTTCTGTTATTTCATGGTATACTAGTTGTCACCGTTTTAACACTTGGTTCTTATGTTTCTTCTGTAATACTTTGAATTAATGTTCACTGATCCCTAGAAGGTTTGATTTATATTGGGATATACACTTAGTACTTCAAAGTTAAGGTTGTATGGAGTTCCTATGTAGCAAGAGTTTGGGCTAGGAGGTTGAAGTTGTTGGAATATACTGCGGTCACCTTAGTTCAGAATGGGACCTAGTGGAGGGTGGGGGGGGGAACTATGCTCAAGCAGATTAGCTTTTCTCCAGGAGATTCATTTGCGAGCCAAAGATCATAAATGACTTAAACCTCCATGGATAGGTCATATGTTTCACTCAGACATAGATAGTAGAGCCAGAGGACTGGCAATCTTAATTAGGAATAAAATACATTTTTCTCTCACTAAATTGATTGCTGACAAAAATGGACGATATCTAATTGTTGTAGGGACCCTCATGAATAACCCAGTTGTTTTAGTGAATGTCTATGCCCCAAACTTTGACAACGCTCTGTTTGCTAATAATCTTTTGAGGATGATTCCTGACTTAAATACACACCTCCTGATCTTCGGAGGTCATTTGAACTGCGTTATTGACCCAGCTTTAGACAAATCTGCCCTTGTGGCAGTGGCAGATTTGTCTAAAGCTGGGTCAATAACGTTCACACGTTATTGACGTAGACAAACAGATTTTAATTTCCACCTAGCTTCTTCAGGATTTAGATATCTAGGAGTGCATATTACCAGTTCATTTAAAGCTTTGCGAACAGCAAATTTTAACCCTTTGCTGACCTATGTAAGGTTGGCTTTTCAAAGGTGGGCAAATCTTCCTGTATCACTTCTTGGCAGGATTAATATTCTAAAAATGAATATTCTACCCAAAATCTTTTTCAGTGTATCCTATTGTTTCTACCTAAATCCTTTTTCAAATCTGTGAATCGAATGATTTCATCATTTATATGGGCAAATAAGACCCCCAGGATTAGTATGACCTCACTACAACAGGGTAAGCTCAGTGGGGGTCTTGCTCTGCCCAACTTGATGTTTTATTATTGGGCACCCAACATTCAGAAGTATACCTATTGGCTGAACGATCCTCAAGCTACTTGGTGTTGCCTTGAGGCTCAATCATGTTTCTCTTCCTCACTCTCAGCACTATTATTTTCATCCCTTCCTGTTTCCCTGTTACGATTCACAGACAACCCTGTTCTAATTGGCTCTTTAAAAATATGGTATCAATTCCGGCGTCACTTCAATTCAGTCTCTGCTTCTGCTCTGACCCCAATCTGCAACAACTACCTCTTCCCCCCGTCCCTGGTGGACTCCTCCTTCCATATATGGGCAAGAAAAGGTATCAAATGGTTTTATGACTTTTTTAAAGATAACATTTTTCTCAGTTTTAGTGACCTTTGTTCTTTGTATGATTTGCCCTCGTATCATTTGTTCCGCTACTTTCAAATAAGACACTGTGCATCTTCTATCTTGCCAGAGTTTCCAAGTCAGCCTCTCAAGCCTTGGTGGGAAGACTTGTTCCAGTTGAAGCCTCACAGTAAGGCTCTAATATCACAAATATATACTTTAATTATGGCATCGGGCAATTACTCAACCGAGAAAATTGCTTCGAGTTGGGAACAGGAACTGGGTCTTCAGTTTGTTGAAGGTTACTGTGACAAAGTAATTGACAAAATTCATTCCTCAGCCTCATGTGCAAGACTCGCCCTTATTCAGTTTAAGACGGTATACAGATTACACTTCTCAAGATCTAGACTATCTAAAATATACCCCGGCATTCCTGACCTGTGCAACAGATGCAACACAATCCCCCGGCAATTTAACTCATATGTTTTTTGCCTGCCCGTCACTTCAATTATACTGGACTTTTTACTTTGAAGTGCTCTCTCATGTTTTGAGCGTTACTCTCAAACCATGCCCACTAGTTGCCATTTTTGGTGTTTCTGAGGACGCCACCCTAAACCTTAGTCGTAAGCAACTGGATATTATCGCTTTCACTTCACTGCTGGCACGGCGTCTAATTTTGCTGTCTTGGAAAGCTCCTCACCCTCCAGCCCGATCACGTTGGCTGGAAGATGTTATGTTCTTTTTAAAAAGTGAGAAAATAAAATTCAGACTCAGAGGAAATGTTAATAAGTTCTCGCAGATGTGGCAGCCTTTTATCATTTACTTTAACTCATTGGAAACACTTAACAGACTAACTTTAGTACCATGGGGTTCTTTTGTTCTGGTTTTGGGGGGGGCTTTTTGTTGTTTTTTTGTTGTTTTCTTGTGGGTTTTTTTTTTTTTTCTTCTTTTTCTTTTTTCTGTTTTATTGTTATCATCTGAATTTTAATGGCCTAATCTGTCTTGATATATGTCTTTGTATCGGTTGGTACTTGCTGTATTGTGCCTGATATGTCAAATTACATGTGCAAAACTTTATAAATAAAGAAGGGGGGGGGGAAGAAGTACCTCTATCTCTCTGAGCTTAGAGCGCTTCTCCTCGTTCATTTCAGACATCTTTGACTTAAAGTCAGAGTCATCTCTGATCGGGTTGGAATAGCTCTGATTATCTTCTGAACGAGGGCTTCTGTCCTCATCACTGTCCGCATCATCCCTTTAGAGGTGAACACAATTAATTTTTTTAAACAAAGGCGTGCCAAGGCATTCACAAAACATCAAACTCAAAAGGCAAACACACACACACACAAAAACTTACTTTTTTGTTTCTTCTGGCTGCTCAAATATCTCCCACTTGGAGGTTGTCACAGCTGAGGAGCAAACAAAGGCAATTATATGAGTCAAGTAATTGCAAAACCCTCACGCCACCTATGATAACATAATGTAGGTAACAACTAATCTGACACTTTAAAAGGCCTCACCTTGAGATTCTAACTCTGCCTCATCCACTGCTTCCCATTTCGATGGTGCTACCTTGAAGGGAGCATCCTTGGACGGATCCACTATATTAACAGAAAGAAAAAAAAAGAGAGAAAAAAAAAAGAACTGAGTCGCTGGGAAATTGATGGATCCAACAACTCTTGGAAACATGCTTTGCTATTGTATGCACTACTCACAAGGTATTCCATCTAGGTCTTCTTCCATGGACTTGATAGGAACTCCATCTAGGTCATCCAGAGGGGCTCCATCGATTGGTGCCCCATCAAGGGGAACTGAGTCAATGGGCACTCCATCCACGTCCTCCAGTGGAGTACCATCTACATAATCCCCGATAGGAGCCCCATCAATGTCGTCTGCTGGCTCAGGCTTGATACAAATGTAGAGGAAAAAGAAAAAACATGGAAATTTAGTAGCAGCATGGTAAATTTTCAAAGCAATAATACAATAACTTTAATGGTACTGAAAAGACTAAATAATAAAGCCTCACTTACCTCCACAACAAGGCTTACAGGCTCCTTCTCCACAGCGAGGTTTACTAGACCAAGGAAGATGTTCTGCAGCTTGATAAGAAAAGGGTCAGGGTACACAGCCCAGTCCTCCCATGCCCGGAAACATGACATTACCCGTTGCTAGCGCACACACACACACACACA